TATATATATATAAGACTTGTGGGGAATGAATAATTGAAGTGTAACCTGACAGTCCTTTGCCACCAGTATTATTGTCATTGTATAAAAACTGTTGTGAAAGTGTTTGGTGCAAGTTCTTATACTCTCTGGCCTGTTGTGTCTAAGGTGTTCAATGTTCAGATTTTCTCAATCTGAACAGGGGTGGTGAATATCCATGACAATTGATTGTACTTTGCTCCTACAGTGGTGAGTGGACAGAGTGTCTAAAGAGGGGAGATGAGTGCCTATAATATTTTCTGCAGTCTTTATAATTCTCTGCAGGTGTTTTCTCGTTCTCAGTGTGTCATTCCCAAACAACACACTCCCACACTGTGATGCCACTAACAAGGATGCTCGCTACCAAACCTCTGTAGGCTTGAATAAGGAGCTGGTGAATAAGGCCAACCCTCCTCAGTTACCTGATATAATATAACTGCTTCTGTGCTTTCTCAACAACAACTGAGATATTAGATGACCAACTAAGGTTGTTGGTAATAATAATAATAATGCATTTTATTTGGTGGTGCCTTTCCTGACACTCAAGGTCACCTTACATCAAGTAGTAAATAAAAGTAGGTAATACAATTACAATTAATACAACATTAATACAAAATAATAAAATAGAAATAGAAATAAAATCCTAAAATCATCACTGAATTAATTATTCCAGTGCAATTATAATAAATATGCTAATTTGAAAAGTTTTTACTGCTGCCTTACATTCAGTAATGGATTCTAATGTGTGGATATGAGGGGGAAGTGAGTTCTGAGTTTTGGTGCAGCATAGGAAAAGGGCCTGACACCTGCTGTGCTGAGGTTGATAGTTGGTAGTGCTAAAAGACCTGCTGATGAGGATCATGATGAACAAAGTGTTTTTTTAAAACTGAAGAAGATTTGTGAGATAAGCAGGGGACAGATTCTGAACTGCTTTAAATATTAATAATGAAAATTTGAAATGTATACATTGCATTATACGTAGGTCTATGAACATAAAGCTGTTCACCTGTTCCACCATAGAGCCTCTTATGACCAAAGGGTGTAGAGGTGGGGAACGTTTACTAAAATCCAGACAAATTTTGTCAGTATTCAGGATCTGTTTTCACCATAATCAATTGCATCAACCACCAACTGCTGGTAGTCTGACTCATTGTTGCATGTTATCAGTCCAGTTATACTGGTTTCATTTGCATATAGGAATATGCAGCTACAGTATGGTCCTGAGTGGATATGCAGTCATGTGTATAGAGTGAGAAAAGTCTGAGGCACCAGCCTTGTGGATTTTCTGTTCTAATGGTCAGCTTTGCAGATATTATAATTATACATTATAAATTAGATAAGAGCACTGTACACCTCTCCAGTGTTCACTGAACCACTGGCATCTGCAATAAGACAGAGTGACAACATTAAAGGAATACAAATAGATAATATACAGCACAAGATCTGTTTGTATGCAGAGGATGTGTTACTACTCCTTCAGTACCCTATCTCATCCCTATAAGCATCATTGACATTAATTACAACTTTCTCAGATATCTCCAGCTACTAGAATAAATCATTTTACTACTGTATAGGTAGTAATAGAAGGTCATGGAGATAACAGGGTTAAGATCCCGTGGGACTTCCAGATCCAGACAGACAGCAAGGTACTGGACAAGGACGTAGTGATGATAGACATAGCAGCAATAAAAGAGACATCTACATTGAGAAGAAGGAGCATGAGAAGATGGAGAAGTCTTAGAGACTGAAAGAGGAACTGGATGGGATGTAGAAGGTGAAGGCCCAGGGGGGTTAGGAGCACTCAGAGGTGCGACTCCTAATCTGGAGGAGCAGCTCCAATAGATCCCACGAAAAATATTAGAGCCCTCTGTCAAGAAGAGTGCAGTGCTAAGTACAGCTAAGATACTGCACAGAACCCTCAAACTCCCAGGCCCCTGGTAGGGGTGAGAGGCATCGGGTGAGAGGCAGGGTCCACCCTGGACAGGTCACCAGTCTATCACAGGGCTGACACTTAGAGATAGACAACCGCCCACACGTCTACAGGCAATTTAGAGTCACCAGTCACCCTAAGCTGCATGTCTTTGGACTGCGGAAGGAAGCCAGAGTACCCAGATACAACCCATGCAGGCACAGAGAGGGCATACAAACTGCACACAGAAAGGCAATGGGTCAACGACAGCTCGAACCCAAAACCTTCTTGCTGTGAGGCAGCAGCACTAACAACTGCCCCACTATGCCATCCAACATAATACCGATAAATAAATATAATAACAATAAATATATTTATTGTTCTTTTTTCTCCCCATCTATTTTGTATTTAGTTTTTTCTCTGCTTCCATCTCCCACTTATGGCAAAATTCAAGATTCTAGCAGGCTTGGTTTGGTTTTGGTTATTATTCTGTTATGGTTGGTGTCTCTCACCAGGAGGTGAGAGAGAGAGAGAATGAGAGAGAATGAGGACTCAGGGTGCAAACTCATAGTGTTAGCAGAAAAGAGTCTTTATTACAGAATGTAAGCAGATGGAGGAAGACAAGGTCAATGGGGTTGGAGTGGTCCGACCAGGGTAGAGGAGTAGAGGCTGAAAGGATGGGCAGATAAGTAGGCAGGAGAGCAGCAGGAACCAGGAGGATCAAAAGATCAGGACGGACTGGTGAGTAGACAGGAGAGCGGCAGGAACCAGGAGGATCAGAGGACCAGGATGGGCAGGGTAGTAGGCAGGAGAGCTGCCATACAGGCAAGAGCACGGCAGTCAGATAAGTGCACAACATAGCTGGCAGTAAGTGCATCATGTGGCTAGCAGTCTCACTCCATAAACGATAAGCAGATAAACACAGGGCACTCGCACCATAGCTGGCAGGCAGATTAAACAGTGTTGAGAGTATTCACTCCACAGTTGGCAGGCAGGTCAATGCAGCGGGAACGTGACAGAAGTATTGTACACAAGACGTTCTAGCTGTACGGCTAGAACAAAGCGAAAAATTGACAGAGTAACATGCATGGCCACATCAAACGTGAACCTCAACCTCAATGATCTGGCGATGAAGGAGCGTCTGACAGTGCTTTAAGTAGGGACGGTGATCATCTGATATACGCCTCATCTGTGTCACACCCCGTGAGCCGCTGATTAAGTGATGCGCTTCAGCTGTGCCTCACCTGGGCGCTGGGACCTGCGACAGAGAACCAGAAAGATAGAGGAAGAGGGAAAGAAAAGAGAAAGAGAGGCAGGTGGCACCGAGCAAACCTGACACTATTCATGACTAACCAGAATATAAGTATGTGATAACTCAAGTTTAATGACATGAGGTGGATCAGCCTCCTCTGTCTTGGTCTGAAGGCGGTCCACAGCGGTTAATAGATTGTTGGACCTAACATTGAACCGACACCCTATGAAGGGTTAGGGACAGCCTTCAAAAGAAACAATACAAAAGAAGTAAATATGTTGCCGGTCCTCCAGACCTACCTGCTGCTTCTTATCTCAGACTTACTGCTGGGGACAGGGCAAATTTAATTTAACTTTATTACTGTATATTAAATTTTAATGCAGTTAGTTATTTCACTACCCGATTATCCCCTCACCCATTTTTTTTAAGTCTCTCTCGTATACATCTCCATGATCCTACCCACAGGTATATGGGTGAACATTCTGATACAGCTCACACATATGGCTCATTTACCATGCATCCACATTGCTCTCCTGGTGGTGCAGTGGTTAGCACTGTCCACACCTTAACCACGCTTGTTATTGTAACCATGACAGCTAATATTCTCTACCTGAAACAAAGTACTTACTTTAAGCCAAGTCTTCTTTCTCTAAATGTAACCAAGTTGTTTTTGTTCCTAAACCTAATGAAACCCATACTTGATCACTGTCACATCATAAAATGATTTTTAAATTTATTCTTCAACAGTGGTATTTAACAGATTGTCTGTGGTTTATCTCCTGCAGTCACTGGGGCTCTAATTCAAGAAATACTCCTATGGATCATACCGTAATGTAGGGACAAATTACCTACCGTTTATGGTTGTCTAGATTAAAGGACTTGCTATATTGAGGTATTTTAAAAA